TATATATATATATATATATATATATATATATATATATATATATATATATGACTTGATACTAGTTTACTAGGTTTTGCGGTTGATTTTCAGGTCTGTAGCGATCTGGCTATATATATATACAGTTAGTAAAAAATTTTTAACAGCTTTTTTTGTGAAACTATTACATTTTTGAAAAAGTAATTAGTATAACGACTTCAAGAACAATCGACAAATTAAAAAAAAAGTAGCTTACATAAAAAAATAATTACATCAACAAATTTAGTTGTTGGTTCAAAAGTATATTAAGTTATAGCAAAAAATTCGACACGCACCAAAAATCACCGGTTAGTCTGAGCAAAGTACTTTGACTCCTAATAAAAACCATCAATAAGTTTTTTTTATACAAAAAATTATTTACTGATTTTTAATCAGTAAATAAATCTTTGTTTAGAATTGCAAAATACCAAATAAAATCAACAACAAAAAAAAACGATCCTTAATTAGATTCTGGCGCTAACAGTTTTCAACTTGATATTATAACTATTAAAATCTTTCAGTTCGAAAAAAGTAGATTAGAGATACACTGACTTTTTTTAGCAGAGGACTGGGGAGACTTTTTTACAAATAATGTCATCTACTTAAGTTTTTTCCCCAAACAAATCCACGGTGGTGAGCATTAATGGCTAATAAAATCTAATTGAGGGGAAACAAATTAATTTTTTAAATTGTTTTAAGAGCACATTTAAAAAATACTTTATATAAGCAAACATATTTTTTCAGATAGACAAATATATTGTTTATCAAAATATAAATTTCAAATAACAAAAAAAGTGTCCCCTTGGCCCCGTTTCTTTCTAATCAAATACTTTACCCCTAAACATGATTTGACTAATGACGTAACTTTTAAAGCTATTGAAAAACACAATAAAAAAAGATTAAAGAATGCGCAACTACGGCGCATTGGTCTATTTTTTTTATTATTCACTGTTATTAATCACTATTATTCACAACTTTTATTAGTGACTTTTATATTATCATTATTTTTACTGCTAGAAACATTCTAAATATATAAAATATTAAAAATTTAAAAAAAGTTTATTACAAAAAATAATAAAGAACTCATATTTTAAACACATCATTTATATGTTTGTTTAAAAAAGTAAATTGCGCGGCTAAAAAATACTTTCAAAGTTTGCGAAGTGAATCGCTAAACGGTCCCTGTGAAAGTTTACGCACATTCTAATAATAATAATAATAATAATAATAATAATAATAATAGTAATAATAATAATAATAATAATAATAATAATAATAATAATAAATTTAATAAAGAAATAAATCAATCACCTATCATATCAACAAAATAAATAAACAAATGTATATTATTTTAATAAAAATAAAATGATTGGAGATTTAATAAATGATATGGGTTACTTTAAGTCCGGATTAAAGTAACCCTATTTTACATAAAAACTTAAATGTGATTAGGTATTTTTTTCTTGAAACTAAATAAAAAAAATAACTAAAAAAATATTCTAATCTTTTAAGGTGGCTATTAAAAGTCTTAAAAAAAATTTTTTTTTCTGTTTTTTGGAAGTTTTAACCTTTATAAACAATAAAAGTAAATAACAATGGAAAAAAAAGTCATAAGTTTGCCCTAATTTTGTTCTTTAAAAAGGGGTAAACATCCAAAAGTTCCTTAGCAACGCCCTTAGCGACAGTTAGAACTTCTTTTCTGAAGAACTAATAGGCACTTTTTCTCCATATTTTACTGTACCTTAACCAAGTTCTTATCTACACTGTTAAGTTATTTCTAAGTTAAATGACATTGGTCAAAAGTACTAAAATTAGACCACATTTGAATTTGTAGCTTTTTATTTTTGAATTTTTTTTTCCAATGCGCTTTTCTCTATTTAAATGTTTTCTACCTTCTAACAAAGATATCTTTAGTTTTGTTCAATATTTTTCTTTGAAATTTTCTACAGAGATAAAACTTAGTTAGATGAATGTGCTGAGTCAAAAATATTTATACTATGGCATCCCATTCAAATTAAAATTTGGGTAAAACAGGCTATTTTTTAGGGGATTTATACTAAATTGTAAACTTCATAGCAATAAATTAAAACATCAACTTTAATTTTGACTCAGCACACAGTACATATAATAAGCAATGTTTATGAAAAGTTTCACTTGATTTAGAATACTCTGCAAACAGTTTTCCTTGTTAGAAAATATGCTGTTTTTGAGTAAATTATGCGCATAATTAATAACGTAATATAAAAGTAAAAGCTTTTTGTATTTTTTTGTCTTATTTGATGCCAATGCAATTGAAATGTGTTAGACTAACACTAAGGTGTTAGTCTAGCAAACAAAGAGTTCTCTTTGTTTGCTAGACTAACACCTTAGTTAAGGTGGCTACCCACTAAATAAAAAAAATCTTTAAAAGAACCCTTTTATCCCCCCATATTTAAACATTTCAATTGCATTGGCATCAAATAAGACAAAAAAATACAAAAAGCTTTTACTTTTATATTACGTTATTAATTATGCGCATAATTTACTCAAAAACAGCATATTTTCTTTTTATTTCTGTAGTGTGTGCGATAATAAAAAACCAAACAAAAGTTCTGCCAAATCAATTTCACTAGCAACTTCAGTTACTTTTTGACATCCATTTCAAAGTTAGCTTATTTAGTGTGCGTAAAAGGCAATATGGTTTTTTAATAGTGTTAGTTGTATATAAATTAACCAATAGAAAAAAAATCCGACACTTTTTAGACGTTTGAACAGGAGAAGCATGAAACTCAAATTTTCTGTAGTGGATTAAAGTAGGACCGCAAGGCATAAAGTAACCCCGTGTTACGGTACCTCTGCAATTCAAATCCGCCAACTCAAAAAAATTTTAATTTTAAAAAGTTATTTAGATAAAATATTTTTCAAAAAGTGCTGAAACGGATTCTTGATGCTATCGCACCAAAATCAGTTTAAAGAAAAATATTTAACATTTTTCCTCATTTAATTATAAATGCCTACATCATTTCAAGCATTTTTGTAAGCGAAACGCACAAGATGTAATTTTTGTCAACCATATTAAAGAGAGAATCAACCATCTATTGTAAATGACTGATTTTGATGCTGAAGAGAAGATTGATGATAAAAACGTAATTGAGTTTTGAAACTTAAATTAGTCTATCACTTTGATTTTATTTTTCTTTGTATTTCTTTTGAGGAATATTTGTAAATTTGCTTATATATTTATATTATATTGGTTTGTTTTATATATGCTAATGCCGCAATGAGTAATTTTTCGAACACATATATAATGAATTTTTTTATCATTTATAAAATAAAAAGTAACATAATAAAGTAAAAAAACTTTTGTTTGTGACAAATTATTAGAGTTTCAACTGCTCAAAGCCAACTTCTTTGATACTTAGATACCAACCTCTTTGATACTTAGGCAAATTAAACAATTAAGTTAAGGCTGCTTCTTATACTATATGATCAAGGAAGTATGTTTTTACCTTGCACCCTTCATATATGAAGGGTGCAAGGAAAAACAGTAACTTTTGGTTTCTGGAGGATTGAAAAAAAAGTCAATTTTCACAGACTTCCTTGATCATATAGTATAAAGAGAAGCAGCCTTAACTTAGTTGTTTAATTTGCATACATATGCATACATGCATATATGTGTATATATATATATATATATATATATATATATATATATATATATATATATATATATATATATATATATATATATATATATATATATGTGTGTGTGTGTGTGTGTGTTTGCTGGGTGTGTGTTGATTGAATTTATTACTTATCTGTTCTTTTAAGAACATTGAGCACTCTATTTTGTAGAACATATAAACACTTTGTGTGTGATATGATAAATTTGTAATTTAATAATACTGAAAAATTGCTAAAAAATATGATATATTTTTGAAATTGGTTTTTGCGATGTAATAGCTTTTTAAATACATCTATGTTATGCCTTACTTCCAAGAATTTATACTAACTGCTAGATATATAGGTATTATAAATAACATTTAAATAATGAATTCAAAAAAAAATTTGTATTAAAAAAAAAGTACTATTCTTAGTTTTTAGTTTTTCTTTGATTACCGATTTTGTTTGATTTTTTTATGCGTTATTTTATTATTATTATTATTTATTTTTTTCAAGCTTCAAGATTAATACTTCACCATTTGATGATCAAAATATTAAAACAATGTAATTCAAAAAATAAAAAAAAAACGGCGAATCATATAAGCATTGTTTTCTTTTTCAAGGAACGTTGCTTATTTTCCAAGGAGTTTTTCAAATTTTTTGGAAATAAGCAACGTCGTGCGCTTTCTGATTTTTTTCAAGAGTGTATTTATACAATTGTTAACATGGTAACAAGGTCTGTCAACTCTTGAATATTTTATTTATACTTTTTAGTGCTTTTAAAGCTTTTTTTAGTACGAGGTTTGCTGAAGCTATATTATGAATTTTATCAAAACTTATAAGACATTGAGTTGTTTCAAATATTTTATTAAAACTTATAAGACATTGAGTTGTTTCAAATATCACAAACCTCATTTTAAAGTTTATATAATTTATTAAAAAAAAAACTATAAAATTTAATCAAATATGCAAATATCCATATTTCTATTTTACTTTAAAGTTCATAAAATACTTTTCTAAACGTTTTTAAAGCCTAAAAATGGCTGCAACCTACCCACCCTAGCCTGCCCCAGGTGAATTTGTTGGTGCATGTACATTTTCTTGAAACTGTAGGTCCACTTTCAAAAAGTTTAAAAGAAAGTTGGTAATTGTTCAAGTGTTGTTTTTTTTTGCGTTGTCTAAACTTTGCCCTCCGTAAAAATCTATAAAAAAGGTAAAATATGAGATAAAATTTTTCTTTTTTATCAGGTACATCTTTAAAATATTTTTACTTAATATAGTATGGTTAAATTAATTTTTGGCGTGACTATAATTGGACGTAAAATGAGAAAAATTAAGTAAAATCTTTTTTTAACAATATTTTTCTTTAAGATTAAAAAACATAAAAAATAACTAATAAATAACAAGTTAAAAATAGAAGTCATAGTAATTTAAAAATATATATAACCAATAACATCAAAGTAAACAACGAACCATACAAAGCACAAAGAGATTCTCTTTTGTGTTTATTTTAAACTTTTGTAGATAAGTGAAATCATTTTTTTTGTTGGGTTATCTTTTGAAAAGAGAAAATGGGAACAAATTTCTTCAATAGTTTTTTCCAAAGAACTTTCTTTAATTAGTTCATTGTTATCGTCGAGTATTAGATTACGTCTATTTATAATTCTTTCGTTCAATTTGCTTATAGCATCGTCTTCAATCATCATGTTTGTCTCACTAGTTAACATTTTTTTGCATTGTCTTAGTTTTTCTTCGCGGGCCTTTGGAAAAGCTAACAATTCAGAAGAAATTTTTTTCTTATACAAACTAGCATCATATGATGTTCGTTTTCCAATTTTGAAATGGGCTACAACTAGCGTTATTAGACATAAAACCGAACATATTTTGAATATGTGAATCATGGCTAAAATAAAAGAAATATTTGAGATGTTAAATCCTGCTGAGCTGTGTCTTTTTAATTTTAATAATTAGGAATAAGTTGAATTAATTAGGAAACCATAGAAGATTATGCAATTTAAAAATAAAAATTTTACATTAAATGAGTTTCCTAAAAGATTTGTAATATTAAAAAAAAAAAGACATTTTCAATTAGCAATTTTTAAAAAAGTATATATATTTCAGTTTTTTCAAGTATAACTTCATATTTTTTTTTTCAAAAAAATAAAATAAAAAAATAATAAAAAAATAATAATGTATACAAAAAAGTTTACGTTTAGTTTTGACAAAAATAAATAAAATGCCATCAAATATAATGTCTACAAAAAATATAATGTATACAAAAAAGTTTACGTATAGTTTTGACAAAAATAAATATAATGCCATTAAACGTTGACACAAATAGTTGTAAAATCTTTAATTAAATGAAAATGAATAAAATAAGTAATGATGCGTCTCTAATAAGTCCCAAAAAGTTTTGAAGTCAAAATAACAAAAATAAGGTATATAGTAAGATGATAAATTATTTATAGTTGCTAAGTGAAAAGAATTTTGATCAATGGCCCAAATTAACAATAAAAATCAACAATGCGAACCAAAGCATAATTTCTTATTTATAAAAAGTACCTTATGACTATTATTTCATACTTATAAATATTGGTAAACATAACAATTAAATGTTATGTTTACCAATATTTATAAATTTTTCAAATATTTATCATTCGCATAATATGCATCTTCTTATAAAACGTGTCTCCTAATTTAAATGACATCATATATGTTATTGAATTTTTCTATATAGCTAAAAAACATTAGAAATGAAATATCAGGTAGGCGGTTTCAAAATGGTCATAAATAGTTGATGAGAACAATTTCTTCAATGGAAACTGCCAATTATAATACGTTTTAATTTTTGGTAGATTAGAAAAACAATAACTTTGTAATAAATAAAGCTATTTGGAATAAAAATAAAAAGATTGAAAAAATTATTGACGCCTTTAAGCAAGTAATACGTCAATTTGACGTCGATAAAAAGTCTTAGGCGGACTGGTGATTATTTATATATTTTCTTCAAAAATATATTAACCTTCTCAAAAAAAAAAAAAAAAGCAAAGTTACGTATAGATTTCAAAACTAATGATTATTAACTTTTACGTTTAAACTAGTTGATTAAGCTCAGAAAAATCGTCTCAAATAGGATGAACTTCAAAATGCTTAACCAAATATAGCATTAGTATAGAAAAATTGGAGTTGCTTAAATTTTGTTAAATATCAGATATAACTTTTCATTTAATTATGTATCCATTTATAACCTTTTTTATACATAATTAACCTCTTTTGAAAACTCCAGAAGAATCAATAAAATGAGTATATTGCAGCAGCTAATGTCGTTATCAGCAAACACATGTCTTTCACCAAATATTGAATCACTAAATTCTCTAAACTTTTCTCTACCTTTTCTTATACATTTAATTTGAAAATAAAGTAGAATCTTACTTGTAACTGTGTCTCATCGTCAATTTTCTTAACATATAAAACGTTCCTCCTGTCTTGTAATAAACTCAGACTAATGAAATTATCTCTATTTCTCGTTTTTTAGATTATTGATGCAATTAATGTTTTTATCTTTATATAAACTACTTAATAAAGTTATACCAAAGAGGTTACTAATATGGTTTACATATAAATAAAAATACCTGGTAATATATGTTAGTTAATGGCAATAAAAACTATTATTTTATGCAAAATTGATGTCAATATTACTTGTTAATATACGCTAATTAATGTCAACAGTATCCACTGACACAAGTAAATTTAATTTTAGTATTATCTTTTAATAATATTAAAAATAATGACTAGGTAATTTAAATACGAAATTGCAAATGTTAAATGAAATTGCAGTTTTCGTATGAATTTTAGATTAAAAATAAAACTATTATACTTTAACATGCATAAATATGTTTAAAGCTGCACCAACCTGGGCAGGGGCAAAATTTGTATCCCCTATAATTTGAGGGGTTAGAAATTTTATAAAGTCATAACTTTTAAATGCGAGGAGATTTTTATATAAAATTAAAGCTTATCAATGAATATAAGTTTAGTTGAGAATTTGAAAAAAAATTATATGTAGCATATATATATGAATATATATATGAATATATATATATATATATATATATATATATATATATATATATATATATATATATATATATATATATATATATATATATATATATATATATATATATTTATATATATATATATATATATATATATATATATATATATATATATATATATATATATATATATATATATATTTATATATATATATATATATCATATTGTTTTTTTAATGATTTTACTATCAAATGTTGTGGTATATGATAGTGTAATATTCCAACTAAATTGTGTAATGGTATTATTTTTTTCGGATAGATAAAAGCAAACCATTCTGACACATAAACAACTTTTGCTTTACCATTAACAGCTGCGTCTAAAAGTTGCAAAGTTGCAATGGGTGAAAAGGAAATGTTAAAACCACTATTTCATTTTTATTACAATAATTGATAGCATATAATGCACAATGACTTTCATAATTGTCCGTTATAAGTAAACATTTAGCTAGTTTTTTTTATATGCTTTAGAACCTTTAAAAAAATTACCCCAACACTAGCCACTTGTTGTTAACCTATAAAAATAGGTATTCCTTCTCTAATCATGGTAACTTTGAGAAGAGGAATAACATGTTTACCTTACTATAGACACTATTGACAATTTTTGAGATAAAATACAAGATTTTGTAATTTGAGAATAGCGGGCTTTGGCGTTAAATAAAACTTTTTTAGAACTGTTTTTTAGAATAGTATATAGAAGTCTGTTTTTTGGAGAATTGTTTTGGCAATAGACATGGAATTAGTGGTTACAATTGGAAATTAATGTACCACAATTAGAGAAAAACCATGGAGAAGAGTGAAGCTTGACTTGGATTTGTCGAGAGGGAATAAAAGATTCCATGCCAACTTGAATTCAAGAAGTTACATAAGAAACATATGTAACAGTAGGAAGACGAAAGATTTCTACCCAAGAATCATTATGAAGAAAATCACGGAAAGAGTCCCAGTCGATTTTAAGGTTTTAAAAGGTGCAATATAAAGGGGATTTTGGTTATGAAGAAATATGAAAGAATAGTTTTAAGAGATTAAAATGTGATCAAAAGCACCTAAGAGTAAATATAGAGAAACTCTGCACTGACTAGGATCAGAAACAAGACATAAGTTGAGTAGAGAAGGTAAATCGGATTATCTGGAAAGCGATTTAAAAGGTTGACTATTTGTGTTAAAGATTGAGAAAGACAAAAGCTGTGGACCCTAATACCTGCAGAGTTGCTGACACTAGAGCTGTGCCATTCAGTGTGATAAGCATTAAAGTCACCAACGAAAAAGATATTGGCTGAAAGATAAAGAGAGAGGGTTTGGTCAATTTGATCAGAAATAAAATTGAAAAGAGTGCAGTCTTGAGATAAAGGAGAGCGATATAGAACAAAGAGAAAGGTGATAGAGTGAAGTGGTGCTAAACAAAAGCACATAAAAGAATAAACTCAAATTAGTCTCACAAAGAGCAAGTAGGTCTGGTAAACTTTGCAAAAGAACTAAACATAAGAAAAGTTACTACCAAAAGTACAAATATTAGTAAACGGTTTTTTATATTTTAAAGTTTTTGATACTTTAATCATATTTTAAATTGTTTAAAGAACTTAAAGCATAGGTAGTACTCTACACATTATTTAATAGCCCAAGCAATTGTCTCATTATTATTAAAAAAACCCTTTGTAATAAAGGGCTCCAAATGTAGCCTCAATGCACATCAAAAGTACTAATAGGGACATCATCCATGCGCAACGTGGTACTGTTAGTATTCTGATACTTTAACGCTGTTAATGGAATCAACCTCTCTGAGAGCTACCACAAAGTTTGGGAAGCCTGACTACCAGCCGGCCTTAGAACTAAAAAGCTGAATTTTAGAGCTGTACCCTCATTAGGAGATAATAGAATAAGTTGCCTAGTCATAAAAACAGAGACACATGCATTAAGTAAAGAAGATCCAGCATTCAACATTCTAAACTAGACATAATGTATTATATATACATCTACGCCAGCCTAATACATGAAGAAGGAGTGCAAAGTTGGGAAATAGATAGAATGTGTTTATCTCTTTAGTCTTTGCTTAAAAGGCCTTCTACAAAACAGAAGCCGGATCCATTTAACGTCTGCTCAAGATGAGTATTTTTATCGAAACATCATCTTTGAAAAATGACTGAACCTCTAAAAACTGACTCAATAGACAAAAAAAAAGTAGTATTCGAAGTAGCAGAAAGTGAAGGATTATATGTTAAATCTATAATTTATTTGTTAATAACGGTAAGTATAATATTTCTTTGCTATGGTAGGCAGGCATGGATTATTTAATAGACAATCGTCTAGAGTGCCAAGAAAATCCTGATTGCGCCTAAAATAAATTAAGTTTTTGAGGTAAAGTTATGCAGTTAATAATTTTAAATTTGTTTTTTATTTGCCGATAAGCTAAGAAGCAAGTTCCACTTTTGTATTTCAGTTTGCATTTTGTGTATGTTTGTTCATATTAAGGTTTGTTCATATGAGGTTCTAAATAGTATGATACCGTATATGATGTTTTAATACTTATATATACACATACTATTAAAGATGTCACTTAAATTTTGTATATATGTTGTATATATACATACATGTATATATATATATATATATATATATATATATATATATATATATATATATATATATATATATATACATATATGTATATATATACATATATATATATATATTGTATATATATATATATATATAAATATATATATATATGTGTATATATATATATATATATATATATATATATATATATATATATATATATATATATATATATATATGTATATATATATGTATATATGTATATATATGTTGTATATATATACATATATATATATGTATATATATATATATGTATATATATGTTGTATATATATACATATGTATATATGTGTATATATATATATATGTTGTATATATATATATATATATATATATATATATATATATATATATATATATATATATATATATATATATATATATATATATATATATATATATATATATATGTATATATATATGTTGTATACATATATATATATTCCGCAAGCGCAAATTCCAAAAACGCTCCTTCCGTAAGTTTCTTTTCGTAAAGGGTTATTACGTAATTATCGGGAGGCTGAAAAAGTGCGAATTGGCATAAGTGCGATCTGGCATAAGTGCAAAGCATTGCAAAAATTGGCATAAGTGCGAACTGGAATAAATGCGAAGCATTGGAATAAGTGCAAACTGACATATGTGCGAATTGCTATAAGTGCGCCAAAAGAATTTCTAAACATTGGGATAAGTGCAAATTTGTATAAGTGCAAACTGGCATAAATGCGAAGCTGTTGTAAAAACTGGCACAAGTGCAAACTGGCATAAGTGTGAATTGGTATAAGTACGCCGAATAAAATTGCAAATATTATTTGCACTTATGCCAGTTCGCACTTGCTCCAGTTTTTACAACAGCTTCGCATTTATGTCAGTTTGCACTTATACAAATTTGCACTTATCCCAATGTTTTCAAATTCTTTTGGCGCACTTGTGCCAGTTCGCACATATGCCAGTTTGCAATTATTCCAATTTTTGCAACGCTTCGCACTTATGCCAGTTCGCACATATGCCAGCTCGCACTTACGCCAGTCGCATTTATGCCAGTTTGCACATGAAATTCGCGCTTATTCAGCCGTCCCAGAATTATTATTATTACTTTTTTTTTTCGTATAATGCGTTGCGGAAGGTGAATTTGCGCATGTACAACTTCCGCAATAGCAACTTGAAATGCGGAAGATAAAAATGCGAAATTTTCGTAAGTTTTTGTTTACGGCGAACAACCCTAGTTACTTTACTCATTTTACAGAGTTTACGCGAAAGTCAAAAATAAATGAATAAAATTTATGTTGTTATAAAAATGTAATTTGACTATTAAGAAACAACTCGTATTTTAAATGATTAAAAGTTATAATATAATACACATTAAAAACAACATAAAAAAAAGTAGTTTTGAGTACTTTAGCCACAAAACTTTTAAGAAAATCTACTTTAATCATATAGACCGTATGCGAAATGCGCTAAGTCTAAAATATATCAATTTCTGCTGAAGCACAACTATGAGTATTCAATTTACTTAAACTTAGCGCGTTTTCCAGATGAACTCCTCATATGTTGTTGAAATAATTATTATAGTAATGATAGTTATAATAAATATAAACAAATTATATTATATTATAGTATTTATTATATATATAAATAATATTTTATTATGACAATTTGTAATATATTATAATAGTTATTATATACATATTATATTATAATAGTTGTTATATATATTATATTATAATAGTTATGATAATTATAAACAAAACGACTTTTGATCTATTGATGCTCTGTCTATTCAAACAACGCTAGTTCATTTACAAAACTCAAAACACTAGTTCGTTTACAAAACTCAAAACGTTTGGGTGAGGTCCGACATACTGTTTTTTTTCCAGTATTTTTTCGATTTAATTTCCTTTTTAAGGATTCATTTTTGCGATAAATCTACATAATAATTAGATCAGATTAATCAATCAATTTTTTCAGTAAAAAAAAGAAAAGAAAATAATGTTGAAAATATTTAAAAATTGTACATAGAGCGAGCATGTAGAGCGTATTGTTGCAGATAATCAGGTTGCCACGATATAGAAGAAAGTGTAGGTTATAAGCAGATAAAGTTAGAGAATACATTGCTGGTTATATGAAAAAGCTACGGATTTTTATAGATTTTATATAAACAAGTATGAAAGTATATCATCACAAATGACTCTGATAATTGTACTTTTGTGTTTTGGCAAAAGAGGAGCATTTTTTGTTTTAAATAATACTCTTAATCTGACCATTATTGAAAAATGTTAAATTAGCTTTAAAATTTTCAAAGTCAAGACCAAGCCCAGTTAACCATGACAGCTGGGTCCCAGCTGGGATATAGCTGGGTTACTGGGACTGGGTTACGGCTGGGATTTGATCTGGGTAATAGATGGGTCCCATATGGTGTAAAAATATCGCCGTAAATATATAAATATAAAATCTAAGATTTCTGGGATTGGCATGGGATTATGCTGGGATTGACGTATGCCTTTCCTGAATGGTTTACGACTGGGATTTAGTGAGAAATGTTACAATGGTAGCGTTTTTTTTGCTTACCACGAGCAGTTGGCATCGTTTAAAAAAAATTGTTTGATGTAAAAATTTCTCTGATGTTTTCATCGTTTATAAAAGTTTTCTGATGTTCTAAATTGTAACCAAACTGGATGAAACATTTCAATTTCTTATCACAGGATGTTATATTATTTTTTTAGAATATGCAGTGAAATAATTTAATCATAACTTATGATTAAGTTTTGCATAACTTAATCTTAAGTTATGAATAAATTATTTCATGTATCACATATATGACAGTACATGGCAAATGTCATATATGACATAAGTTATCATAACTTATGACATATTATGGTTCTATAATATAGAATGATATGATTCTATAATATAGATGATATATCTATAATAATATATCATCTATAATATAGATGTCTATAAAATAGATATCTATAATAATAGATATCTATAATATAAAAAAAGATATCTATAATAATATATCATCTGTAATATAGATGATATATCTATAATATAGAATGTTATGATTCTATAATATAAATGTTATGATTCTATAATATAGAATCTAACTTATGATTAAATTATTTGCCTCGTATAGACTATATTTAGTTGTATATGTTATGATTCATAACATGCCTGTTAATTGATCCTAAATATAAAAAGCAAAAACCTAATGTTTGGAACATTCAAACATTATATGATGATATCATGTAATCATATAAGTTATACCAATATAATCACATTTTCTATAAATTATAACGTATATAAAAAAAGTAAAAGAAAAAAGTTATACTTTGAGTAATATTATTAGTTATATAATATAGTTAATAATATTACTTATATTATAAATACTATAACTGATATTATAAGTAACCTAACTTTTTTTTTAAATAATTTAACTGCTAATAAGTTGTATATAATACAATATACTATGATAACTTAATAAGTTTTATTAAAATAAAAAAAAAGGGTTAAACTGTTTATATTGTGAATTATTTGTAAATAGTAGCAAGTAATAATCAAAATTATTGGTGTTTTAATAAAAATATCACAGTCTGTTTAAATACATTTATTTATTAAATACATTTTTTAAATTCTTCAAAATAAAGTATAAATATAGAATACAAAATCATATAATGGATAGTTTGATGCCTTATTCGTATAATTATCACACTAAGCGTAGAAAAATAAACACTGCCGTATCTCAACTGCTATCACAAGTTCAACATGAATTTGAAAATCAAAATGACTTAAGATCAAATGATCACCAATATAGCTGCACTTTATCAGATAGTATTAGTAACACATATGCAACTATTACAAGTGCAAATTTTACTAGTCATCAAAATAATTTTATTCATGAATTTGCAACATTTAATAAAAGCATGAATCATCCATCCGACGTAAAGACTTAGTTCCATGTAAATGCAATAAGCACAGTAAATAATTGTTATTCAGACAAAAATGCTTGTATGTCAGGTATAGCTGATGATGATAACAGTGATAATGGTTTAACTATTTTTTCTGAAAGTAATGACCCCAATTTAACTAGTTTCAATGAAAATTTAGCAAATTGGGCAATTTCTTTTAATATTTCTCAAAATGCAACTACACATTTACTGCAGATTTTGAAACCAACTGTTCCAAGTGTACCAAAAGATGCTAGGACTCTTCATCATACTCAAAGAAAAATTGATATAAAAAATGTTGCAGGAGGAGAGTACTTTTATTTCGGTATTAAATATTGGTTATCTAAGTTTTTAACAATGGTTTCTCCAAATCCAGAATTAAAGGAACTTAAGTTGCATGTTAACATTGATGGCATACCAATTTTTAAAAGTTCTAGTTCATGTATTTGGCCTATTCTTGGCAGTTTTAAGGAAATTTCAGATAATGTTTTCCCAATTGCCATATTTTGCAGTAGCAGTAAGCCTAATCCACTAACTGCTTATTTGAAAGACTTTATTGCAGAATTGAAATTTCTAGAAAAGTCGCCATTTGAAGACAATAATGGTCGTAAATATATCATCAAACTAGATGCAGTAATTTGTGATGTCCCTGCAAGAGCATTTTTAAAGTGTATTAAATCTCATACTGCATATCATAGCTGTGAGCGATGTATTCAAAAAGGTGAATGGTATGGAAAAATTATTCTTCCTAACCTATCAGCTCCACTTAGAACTGATGAAGGTTTTCGCATGCAAGCAGATAAGAAGCATCACATTGATAACACTATCTCTCCATTTTTAGAATTATCATTTGGAATGGTTTCATCTTTTCCACTCGATTATATGCATTTGGTATGCTTAGGAGTAGTTAAAAGAATGATTAATCAATGGGTGCATGGAAGTAAAAAGAAACAATGTTTATCCAAAACATCGTTAACTACATTATCTGAAAAACTTGTTTTATTTAAACAGCATGTACCAAAAGAATTTTCACGCAAACCTCGCTCAATATTGGAATTTAAACGCTGGAAAGCTACTGAATTACGCCAGTTTTTATTATATACTGGTCCAGTAGTTTTGAAAGGTATATTGCCAAATGATGTTTATATAAACTTTTTGGATTTATCTGTTGCTGTACGTATTCTTTTAAGTCCATCGCTTTGTGCAAATTATCTTGATTATGTTAAAAAGTTGCTAACATATTTTGTTGCTACATTTTGTAAATTATATGGGAAAGATCAGTGCGTTTATAATATTCACTCCTTAATTCATTTGCCAGATGATGTTAATCATTACGGTGCTCTGGATAAAGTCTCTTCTTTTCCATATGAAAGTTATCTTGGAAGATTGAAAAAGCTTGTGCGGCGACCTCAGTTCTTGTGCTTTCAAATTGTGAGAAGTATTTTTGAAGAACATTTGAATCCAACTAATCAAGTTTGTAATGAAAATAAAAGTGTTTTTAAAAAGCTTCACACTGAAGGTCCAGTTCCCTTATCATATCGTCACTGTTTACAATTTAAGAAATATAATAGTGCTAAGTTTTTTGCTTCAATTAATGATTGTTTTAAAGTAAACAGGAAAGTTGGTGTTATAAGAAATTTTTTACAAGTTCCAAATAGCGAGTGCAATGAAGCTTATATTGTTTTTCAAAAGTATGAACTTTTACAACCGTTTTTTACAGATCCAATGAACTCTGACTTACTTTCAATTTTTTTTGCAGAGAAGTTATCCTGTTTTAATTCAATTTTTCCAATTGCAGATTTAGATTGTAAATATGTACAGTTACCATTTAAAAATGGATTTGTAATTATTCCTCAAATGCATCTTTACTAACTTTAATAAAATTTTATGAAATTTATTTACTTTTTTTTATTTGTGTTCTACTTTTTTTATTACATATTTTTAAATTGTTGCATGCTTTGTATTACATACTATAGTATAAATGGATATATGCATTTGCATGTACTACTTTTAAAACTTTTGCTGCAGTATACTGCATCAAAAGTTATAAGAGTAGTAGCTACTCAAATAACTTTGGGTAAATACTGCAGTATTTACCCTAATAATAAATAAATACTTGTTTGTTACATTCCTGTTTATTACATAGTGTACTACTCTTTAAACTTGACCACTTTATAAAAATTATGCTATGGTTGATTGTGATGCCTATTTTATTAGATTAAAATGTCTTATGCAATTGTTTCATTTGATGAAAGTAATGAAACGGATTTTCTTCCATTAAACTGGATTGCTGATGGTACCTTAATGAGTGATATTCCTATGCGAATTAAAAAGCATCATATAGTCGAGTTTTACTGGCCTCCACTAAAAAATCCAGAAAGTATTTCTAAGGCAAAAAGTTGGTGTTTAGAGGCCGATTTGAATTGGCCCACTTATAAAGCACGAATTTTGTCTACTGCTGGTAACTGTTTGTTTTTATAATTATATAAAATATATATATATATTTTTTTTGCATGGCTCTTATATATGGTTAAAAAATAAAGTTGTTTTGTGATGTAGATTATTTTTCAAGTTATCAGTATTTAAATTTGAATTTTGTCATTTATTTAAACTGATTAACCAAGTCTGTCAAAGTCAATCTAAATCATAAACAATCATTATTACTAAAAAAAAAAAGTTGTTTAAGATTCACTTTATGAGGCTCGTCAGAAAGCAATATTGGCTGAAGACACTTCGAACCTCGAAGTTGAAAATAGTATAAAGCAAAGAAGGTGAGTTCCATAAAATTTTGTTAGTGAAGTTTACAAAAAGTGTACTAAATGTTTTTGAAGCACATAGCAGCTATAAATTAGTAAACAAGGAAGTGAGCTTCCCTATTATCCTACAAATGGTGAACATGTTTGTAGTCTAAATTCAGCGCTAGAAATAATTTTTCAAAGCTTGCCGATCAAATGTAATTTTTTCACAAAAACAGGATATTTTCCCTTAAATTTTTTGAAATTTTTCTAAAAATAGCAGATGATTGATCGTTGATCGGCCGTTATTTCAAGCGCCGAAGTTAGTTCTTTTGTAACTCATAATTGTCTGGTCACCCTGCGAGCTAACAGACTGCTTTTTTTCACTAATTTATGTCCTTTTAGACAACTTATCAATTTGTAATACCATTTG